CTTGCTATAGTTCGTAAGGGAAGAAGGTGAAGATCTAAAACCAAGAATTCCTAGATTCTAAAGCCTAAAGGACCATTCTGCAAACCTAATCTGAACTTGGATTTAACATTCAGAGAAAGATATGCATCTGTAAAGGAAGAATACATGTGTGGTCAAGGAAGTGGATGCAAAGTATGTGTTTGAGAAAGATAATTCAGGCAATGTTTTAAATAGCAGACACTCAATTCCACTTCCAAGCTGCTCCATTATTTAATTAACACCCTAAAAAGAAACTGCATCTAAACCTCTGAATTTATCTAACCAGCAATTTGTTACAGACTTGACATAAAATCCTCCTTTTTATCACTCAGCTTTCCCTCTGTTTAAATATCCGTGTTAGGAAGTCATCTCTTCTTGATAAAGTCAGTTATAAAACACTCACTGTTGCGCACTTCCCGCAGAAGGCCAGGTTTGGGAAGAATTGCAAGCTGTGGCAGCAGTAACGGGAATGCTGTGCCTGGCAGAACTCTGTGCAGTTGCCAAGAGAATTTTCTTCATGCTGCTACTCTGTCCCCATGAACAGCCTCTTGCTTCTACTTCTCTTCAGTGCTTGTGTAGCTACTCAGCAAGCTGCACTTGGGAAATAATTCCACAGAAAGTATCTATGGTTCTATTTATTTTGTCACTGGGTCAACTTCCCAGTGTATCCAGTCTCCTTATGGCCTGACACGGGTTAGGGCAAATGACAGGTGCTCTATCAATAACCTCTCTCCCTCCCCAAAGGGGAAGGGAAAGGCAATAAGGGAGAGACTCATGGACCGGAAAAGAAACGTAAACAACTCTAACGAAACAGTAACAATAAAAAGAAAAGATAAGACTATCAATAGGGAAGTAATGAAATATATACAAATATGTACAAACCCAATATCGAACTCCCATGGTGATGATCGCAGAGAATCATGGAATGCATTGGGTTGGACGCTGCAGGGCAGGCACCAGAGCAGCCCCAGAGGGGAACTGGGTCCAGGAACTGGATTTGGGAACTCAGGATCGGGATCAATGAGCACTCAGAACCAAGGCTGTGGCAGCTACCAAGAAAATCTTGTTATAGTGACGCAATCCCCAACAATCAAGTCTATACAAAGTTTGCTCCAGTGCCACTTTTCCTCACGCAACTATCAGTGAGACTTCACTGCCAGAGACGTGCTGATGTTTGTTCTCATCTGAAGCTGAATTTGGAGATGCAAGTGCACTCAAGATGCTGAGATGTGGGAAACTTCTGACGCAGAAAAACTGCTTAGAATTCACGTTGATTAGGCTTCCACATAAATTTGATGAAAACAATCAGGGCAATCTGGACACTGCTGCTGTCCTATACTTTCCAGAATACCTACTGGAGGTATTTCATCTGGCTGGCATTTATTTGTCATCAATGAGACATGACAACGGGTATTAAAGAAAGCTAATATGTGTAACAAAGAAAAAAAGGATAAAGAATATCTGTGATCAGCTAGAACGATTAAAATGTGATTGCACCAATATTCATGCTGTGCCACTCTTCTGAAAACGTCCAGTCTGCGGAAGACTAGGCATTTCTGCTGGTGAACATATTTACCTTTGAATTCCATTTGTCTCGTATGAGATGTTCTTTGAACTTACTCTTCTGATTTAATGGTTATTGATTTTGTTATATGGGCAATAAACTGTGATTTATAGCTATATCACAAGTCCTTCTCATTCACTGGCTTTCGTCATAATACTGATTAAAGGCTGCCGACTCTCCCTAGGCAGCACTCACAGGCAGGGAAACTTGCTGGGCTTTAAAGAGTCTAGCACTGTGGGGAGGATGCCAGTGACCCAGCCTGTGCTGCAGTTAGAGGTAGATGGAGAGGCAGAAATATCGCATAGATTATTTGTAGGGTCTGTTCACAGCACTCCTACGTGATTTCTTGCCTTACTCCGTCCTTTGCCCTCTTGTTATACGGTGTGCGGACTTATTACGCACAGCAATATAGAAATACAATACAGGATTTTCTAACGAGAGCCCTGAGCCAAGAGTTGATTGTAAAACTCCTATGAGAAGAGGAGAAAGATATCAGCTGCAGGCTGATGTCTATACTCTCATCAGTGATTAAACATTAATGGGGAATGCACACAGATGCCACCATTGTCTCAGCCAGAAGAGCCTGGGGATGGCAGAGGTAGCCACGTGGGGAGATGTATCCTGAGAACCTGCTTCCTCAGCTGCCTGGCATGGTTAAATGGTCCTGTAAGGAATATGCTGGGTTCCAAGGCTTATTCAAAATCTCAGTTGTTACCGAACAAAAGAAAAAAAATGGAAGATGGAGATAGGAGCGTATTCCAGTGCACATGTGATGCTATAAAGATGGGGAGACAACTCCAAGTTGTAGTTATCAGCTGTAGACTTTGAAATCTGCTCTTAATCTCCCCATGTGACTGTTTGGACTTGAGGCAAAAGCTTGTGAAAAGGTACAACGCTCTTATGACATTTGTGTAATAAAGGTATAACTGCTTTTTAAAAATCAAAATGCTTCTGTTGCAGCTGGCTTTACTAGATTTCAGAAAAGGCTTCCCTTCACCTCTCATACTTCCTTCACTTAGGAGCTGCTATTTATTTCTGTAATTCGAGTATTCCAGTCAGGAGCACTTTCAAAATTCACCAGTTCAGCTGGAAAAAAGGAATTGAACAGGGTTCCTCACTCCTACTGGGAAGAGATTTTATACTCAGGTGCTTTCTACGTGTTTACATCTGTTTACTCCCTTTGCACCTATTCTTCAAGGCTAGGTAGGGGCAAAATCATTAAGTTAATCACAATTATTTTAAAGTCACAAATTTAACTGCAATCATTAAGACCGCATCCTTCCGAAATTACATCTGTCTTCCATCCATGGGCTCAGGGAAGATCATGAGGAACATGGTATGAGAAAAAAACAGGGGGTTCTGTGTTGCCTAGGCAAGCAACAGGGAGCATTATTAGATTCTACTCTTTTATCATCCATCAGCTACTTTATTAGAGATTTGTTGCCATATGCAGTATGTGCTGTCCATGATGTAAAACTTGTGTATTATGTCCTTGTGCGTAAAATGAGCAGAGCACGAAACACAAACATGGACAGTTAGAAGTATTTTTCACATTGATTTATTGTTCTACTCTGTTCTAAATCTACAGAAGATGAAGTCGTCTTATGGCTGCTCCATTGCTGCTTGCTTATTATAGGGGTGTACTTTACATGTTTATCTAGCAACAACTTTGTAATTTTGCATCTTCCTGGAAAAATACTAACAGTACAGAGAAAGGGACTAGAGTGGATACAGAACATGCTGAATGTTTTGAGAAGGGACCTTGCTGAAAATGCTGCCATTTAGGAGCACGGTGTTGATCTGCTGTGTTAATGTTGGATGACTGAACTATTTTCATTGGAACTGTATCGCTGTGCACATCAGAGATTATACGGTGCTCAAGATACGTTATGCTGTAAAAGGAATTTTTGTTTCCCAGGTAGCAAGGTCAAGAAGTGCCTCAAACTGATAAAAAGAGTCCATATCCTACGGTACTTTGTCAGTGGTGGAGACCAGTACTCCCGTAACATAGTTCAGGCAGGCCAAGAGCTGGACTGAAATGAAGCCCAGAAGCAGGGCCTGTGGATGGAGACCTCAGGTGATCCTCTCAGGACCGTTAAAGCTTACTTGGTGCCCTTCAAGCCCGGACAGACCACACCAAAAGAGCTTGAAAATGCAATGCAGATCTGCTTTGCGCTGTTTAGAGGGAAGGAGTGCATGGTCAGAGGCTTCTCCTTCATGCCAGGAGTAGCCAGTCATCATCACTGTGACCCCTTCATTGCTGACATGGTGTCCCCCTGTCATAGGATCACTTGCTGCTTTTGGCTTGTGCACCAGAGAGCTCAGGCATGGTCTAACAAGAGATGCAGCAGATAACAACTGTGTATGGAGCAACATTTCTCTATTAGACCTTCAGACTCCCAATATCCCAACAGGAAATGCTTTCAGACCTTTCTAGCCCCTGACTATAGTCTAACCACAACACCAGTGAAGACGCAGACTTGAAAGACCTTATATAGGAGAAAAGCAAGTAGACAAGCAGACAATCACCAAAGAAAACTCACCCCAAACCCCACCAAAAATATCAACAAAAAACCCCAACGAATTACTATTAGCTTTTATTTCATATACAGCATATAAACATGCGCAGATCCTTTCTTCAAAATCTCATCGCCAATAAATAAAAACAAAAGGCAATGTTTTAATTTCAAAGTGATTCCAGTATTGCAGTTTGGACTTCCTTCCTCCTAAATGGAGCTTAATGAACATGAGTATCTGCCAAAAGAAGAGAGCTTCCACACAACAATGTAGATAGTGTTTCTGTCCTTCTCTAGGTCCAGTCCCTAAATTGGCAACAATTAGTACAAGTAACAGACTGAGAACTCTCTGGCTATGAAAGGCCTGCTAAATCCCATTAACTTGTCTCCGAGTTACTTGCTGCAGTTCTGTTACAAATATACTTGGTGTCACACAGAGACCTACAGGCAGTTATCCAACACACTGGAAAGCATGGGCTGGAAAAGATAACCCAGTGCTGTGGGCTGTTGTGTGTAGGGGAGGCCAGATTCCAGGCAGATTTAGATATTAACTAGGCTGCAGGCAACTGCTCAGTTTCACCCATCGTGTTCCAATCCAGACAAAATAGTGGAAAATGAAACCGTCCCTGGGACATTTTCATTCCAGTGTGACACAACTCATGGGGAACTGCAATCTCTCAGATGTCGTTTACAGTCTCCTTGTTGCCAAAACTGCGCTGCTGATGGCACCTGATCTGACCACTTCAGGACTAGCCCTGCTATGTCTACATGAGCAAGCAGCTCCAGTTTGACTGTAGTGGAGTTGGGGCCCAAATATTGATTTGTGAAAGTACATGATCTTGTAATATGAAAGCACAAACTTCCTAGCTTGACACATCATCTTTGGACTGTTCATCTTTAATTCAAAAGCAACCAGCGCAGGCAGCATTGGCACAGATTTCACACAAATCAGTGTCTTGGACAGCCATGTCTGTTAGGGAGAAAAGAGAGGGGTTCAATGAGATGGCAAGATAATTTCTTGGAGAGCAGAGCAACACATCAAGGTATCTGAAGACTCCTTCCCACTACTGTTATACAAGTTTTAATGTTCCTTGAAGTTACTACTGATATAAGTAAAATGAATCTGGCTTAAAGAACAAAATCAAACCTGAAACAAAGGCAAGAGAACAACAGGAGATCTTGCAGGAGGGTAATGGGGATGTGGCCTCTAGAGTCACAACATTCTTTACATTGCTAGAGTTTCTTCCTAAAGTGTCCATTGTATTGGACAGTAGATAAATGCAACATCATGAAATAAAAAGGGCAGACACGGTAGCAGCTAATTCAAGAGTCACTACGTGTGGCTTGGAGACAGATCATGCCAAAGACCGATTCACCTCATGTACATCTCAGCCTTCTTTCAGGCTACCTGGAAAAACACCTTCTTCCACACTGATTAAAGTGAGCAATCAGACCCGCTCTCAGCTTGTAGTTAGATAGAACGGAGCGATATAACCCTGCTTTTCCTCTACGCCAGGGGATATTGTGGGCTCTCTCACTTTAACTCACGTAAGTTAGCGTGCAGCTATTGAGAGGAAGCTTTTCACAGTTACAGCAACCTGATCTGTGCAGGCTACAGCAAA